GGTCTCCTTGATTCTGCAATGCCTGAGCCGCTCGGCCAGCTCGCTGAGGTCGCACTGCAGCACCGTGTTCTTCCAGAAATCCTCGATCTCGCCCATCAAATTCTCGGGCAGGTCTGGCACTCCATGCGCTGCCTTGATCATCGCTTTGAGGACGTGCAGGTACGGAGGGCCGAGGATGTCGTGGCCGCCAGCACTTCCTCCTCCCGGTTCCTTGCTGCGCTTGGTTTGCTCGTGGTAGTTGCGCCCCGCCTCTTTCATGGCGCGTGCTATCGTGGGCGCCGACGGGATTAGAAACGTGTGATACACTGCCGCAGTGAGGTCTCTCAGATCTGCCGCCTGAGTCAAGGCGAGCGCGGCCAGGGCCTTGCCCATTCTCTCGATGAGCTGCGTCCTGCTGCCTCCGCCGACCTCGGCGCCAAGCTCCGTGAGCATCTTCTTCCTGCCCCCCGCCTGGCTGTCCTCGCCGCTTCTCTTTAGAGCCCACTTCGGCTCCTCGAGAGACATGCTGATGTACTGGAGCGTGGGAAACAGCGTGTTTGTGTTGATCCTCAAGATCCCGAGCCGCAGATTCACACAATGGACAATCCATGGATACAGGCTGCACAAATGGCCCAAGATACCTCACTCGTGTCACACGATTAGGCCGAGCTCTCTGAGAGATCACATGGCGATATGCTGCTTGTTGGCACGAAAACACATCTCCACAAAACGGACACTGATTGGTCACCACTATCGAAGCATATACATTCGTCCTCCTATGCACACGTTGGATGTGGGTGGACAGCGCTCTACTCGACGACAAGACCGCCGAACAGCACTCCCCAGGGTCCGTGGTCGAGTCAAAGAAGCACTTCCACTGCCCATCACCCCCTCCACCACTAACATGCTTATCTCCAGCACTAACATGCTTATCTCCAGCACGCTCTTCAGGGGGCCTCTGAACATCCAGGGCCCTCAGGAGCCCCACGTCAAACTTCTGGAAGTTGTACCTCGCCTCCGGCTCGCATACAAAGTCGCTGAGATAAGCATGCGCATCAGTTTCAGGATTCGTATCATGCGATATGCGAAGCTCCGACAGGAACCACTCTGCATCCTCAACCTCCAGGAGCGCCTTCAGGTCCTCCATCACCCTCCGAGCCCAGGGGCTCGCCCTCACGGTGAGCCGCCCGTCCTCCGTCATCGTCTCCTCCCTCTCCCAACTCATAAAGCGTGCCGCTGTCCACTGCCTATGCCGATGCGGATGTTTCGAAATAGCCTGCAAACGTTTTAGGCGACGAACTCGAAGTTCAACCTCAAGCGAACACAGCCTCCAATATTTTCTGACACGCTCGTGCGACCACGAAGAGTGAATTCCTTCATTCTCAGTGTGCGCCAGTCCCTTCAAAGCTTTGCGCGCCAACATGTCTACAACGTGCTGCAGCTCCGAAAGCTGTCGTGCCGACGGCAGATACGCCTGAAGATTCTGCACAGCTGTGCCTACTACAAGCAATAATAACATCGAGCGTTTTAAACGAAACGGAACAGCCTTTGAATAACAGAAACCTCCCAGGGAGGAAAAAGCTTTGAAGGTGGCCAGCTTGCGGGCCCGCAGGTCCGGAGCAAACGCCTGGCCCGGCCTGGAATCCGCTACAAATTGTCCCCCTTAGGTACCTAACTTGGTGGCAAGTCTCACCAGGGACATTCAGCCTCTTCATACGAACATCACGCAACTCCACGTGCGCACCTGGCCCGAGCAGGCGCAACAAGCACATTTGCTTCTTGGTATTCTGTGCACAATTGTCTACTGCCATCGCTTCCGACAAGAGATCAGAAGCCTCTCGAACTCTCGCTAAAAGTGGAGCTGCTCGCTCCTTGGGCCTGCCTAGATGGGAAAGCTCGAGATCATCGGCGTACTGGCACAGCGAAAGGTCGATCGGCTCTGGGTCACAGGGGCTGCTCGCCACCAGCTGCCCATCCGTCACTCGCCTCGCGGCCAGCTCACTACGCCACCGTGCAATGCATGGTTGGAACGCCCCCACCCACGCCGCCACCATAAGCGGGTTCCCCATCATCCCTCCACAGCCAGGCCGCAAAAGCACCGACCCGAATTCACACTGCACTGAAGTGGTGGCCTGGTCTATTTTCTGGAGCCCCATGGGGATGGTTCCCTCATCAAACAGCTCAGCCGTTGCCAGTTTTAGCCTCTTCTGCGAGATGCTCCCGAAAGCATTCGTGGCATCAACGTACTGCCTACAGAAAGACCTCCCCTCCGCCTGCGCTCGCCACGACAAGATCGACGAGACCAGCATCGGAGCTTCTTTACACCTACCTGGTTGGTAGCCATGCACGTCTGGATTCATACTTCGCCTATCCATTAGAGCAGAACACCACACTTTGCCAAAAGAGGGCAACGAGTGCACCCATCGTTTACCCGCAAGGCCCTCAACATCCGACGTCCTGAGTCCGCTCGCCTGACTACCGTGCCAAGCTCTAGGTGTGTGGAGTGACGTCCTGATTCGCCACAGCCCAAGATGCACAGCCTTCGTGAAGAAAAAAGTTGGCCTCGCGAGGTCGGGAGCCCCCACGCCTCCGTCTGCTTATCAGCAGGGGTGCCAAGTCCTGGATTCAACGCCATGTCCCAAAGCTCCACAGGCACAGACCGTTTTGGAGCCATCCGCCTTTTTGCCTACACGCCTAAGTTTTTTGCCGATTCTCTTTAAATCCTCACTCGCAAGGTCTGCATCATTCATGTGAAAAGGCGTGCTGTGTTCCTTGTGCTCAGGTACCTCCCCCCACTCCCCAAGCTCACCAGCCTCCATCCCTCCTACAGGTCCAGGCTCCGCCCAGAAACTCACTTGCTCAGCTCGTGTCGGCAGGGCGGTCCGAACCTCTAGCGTCTTTCTCTTCTTGGGTCCGATCCGCACTCCCGCCGCCGCTCTCGCATGGAAGAACACTCTATACAGATGTCTCGCTCCCCACCCTTCCCTCAAATGCTCGAGGTGTTCGTCTCGACGCAGTTGAACTGCCTCCATCGCCATCCACGCAGCCTTCGGGTGACCTGTCTGAGTTCCTCCGTCACGACTTCCAGGCCCCCCGAGGCAGCACCCTCCAGGGCACACCTCAGCTCTCGGAGATGCTGCAGCAGCCTGGAACGGATCCCCTCCAGCTCCGCTCTGCCAGGCACGCTCTGCGACGCTCTAGCAAAACGTGGCGACGCAATGTCATACAGCACTCGCTGAAAATAATCGAACAGACGATCAGGATAATCCTGGGACGCCACACGCATCCACTCCTGCTGCTGCACCTCCATCCCCCCCTCCACCCCGTCAAGCAAGTCCCTCAGTCCCACCCCTCCCCTCAGAGCCGCCATCATCGCATCGGGGTGCAAGCGCACAGCACCTAGATGCAGTGGCATGCTCGTGCTCTCCTGCTCGGTTCGCGCAACAGACGTTTATTCACCTCTACAAAAAAACAGGCAGGTGATCACGCTTCTCTGCCACGCTAATGAGCTGGAGCTGTCTCTCCTTGTCCATGAGCGCACCAGCCACTCTAACAGCTCCTACCATCGACTGCGGATGACACACGTAGTCCAATATCGCGTTGGTCTCGACGCCACTGTAGGTGGGAAGGTCACAGAGCGTCGACGCCGCCATCATATACTGACTCTGCAATACTTCTCGAAACGCCGCAGCAGCAACATGTTCCGCACACGATCCACAACAATTCGAAACATCAGGGTCAATCACCGTTCTGTCCTCACTTCGTTTCAGGCCGATCCCATCGTTCAGGTCGCAAATCACCATTGGCACCGACCTGTCAGGGCACGCCGCCAAATCCTGTGAAAGCCACTGAGTCATGGCTCGTACCGTCCTCTTGTACGCGGCCTGCTTCTTGGTCTCCGTCACCTTGAGCGGGTAGTATTGAGCCAATATCGTGCAATCCTCCGCATTGGTCCTGACTCGAACCGCCAGGCACCTTCCCGCCAGTCTTTTCCCACATCGAACTGCACGTTTATGTTCGTCCCGAAATCGCTTATGTGGTAGCACCGACACACCACAAGCTTTGTTAGAATTAGGGGTCCGCTGCCAGCCCGCCTCCAGCAGTAGCCGCCCTTGTACACGCCTTCGCTGAATCTCCAGCTCCTTGGCCTTCAGCTGCGTGCCTGTCAAAGCCAATGCCTCCATGTCTGGAAAAGCCATGCACAGGTCTTCAATGCGATCGAGCCTCGTGCATGCCAGCGGATTGTACTGCACGAGCTTCCATGAAGGGCCAGCAAACTCTGATGGGTACGCCAGAGCGGCATGAGCAGCATAATATTTATATATATATATATATATGCAGGCAACTCATTGCGCCCGCTCCATCACTCCGTCACACCCGCCGGCCGACTGTTCAGAAAGGGGAACCTGTTGGTCTCATGGTCTAAGCCGCCCGCCCGCTGAAGCCAGCACCGCGGCTTGGAGGAGGAGGAGAAGGAGGAGGAGGAGGAGGCGGGGGACGAGGAGGAGGAGGAGGAGGAGAAACCGGATCGGTGCGAACGGGTAAGCCAACGCATGGCACCACTGCGTAGGTGATTTTGGCCTCAGGGGGAGTTCGGCGACAGAAGCCCCCCCCCCGCAGCAGGCACGAGCCCACTTTCGATAGGTTCGTGGCTTGCCGACAGTCTTTGGGCCTTCTGGGGCCCTGCTGAGGCTCCTATGGCCATGCTGAGGTGGTTCTCGTGGCCATCTCGGGGATCTCCTGCGGCCTTGCTCGGCTACATGTGTGCCCCCTGGGCTCTGGGGCCTCACCTCGGGGCCTCCTGAGGTCTTTGCGGCTTGACAGGGGAATCTATTATTATCCCGTGGGCATCTTGGGGCCTCTGTGGGGCACCTCACGCGGGGCCATCCTGACGACATCGGCGGCGCTGTCTGGGCCTCTTGGTGTCACTCTGACGCGACTTGAGCAGTTCTTGGGGGCAAGACGCGCGACGTGCAAAACACATCCAGCACGAGCGCAACATGTTCAACGTGAAGAACTGGAAGCGGCCAGTGTGGCTCAGGCCGTTTTGCCCCACGCCGTTCTGGGTCCAGGTCGACTAGAGCCAACCAGGCCGCGCCAGCCGAGGCCCGGCGCCGATCCGCCCCCACGAGCACCCTCCACAGCCTGGCGTCGCGCAGGAGGGAGGGGGGGGCTCGCCGAGGAGGGTGGCCCTCTGAGAGGGCGGATGGGATTCTCAGAAGGCAGGGAAGGGGGGGCTTCTCTCAACAGAGCCGAGGGGCACCCGAGAAGCCTTCCCGGACGCCCCCCTGGCGGGCCCCCCCGAGAAGCCCCCCCCCCCCTCCATGCCTCCTCAGAAGCACCCCGCCCTCTTCGGGGGCCGCCCCGCCCCTCGCGCCTGGCCCACTGGCGCCCGACGCCTCGAGATTACCTTTACGTCGGGCCTGTCCCTCTACAGGAGGAACATCCCAAAATAGTAGCAAGAAAATAGTCAGGGGACGATTTTTGGATCATTTTCTGGCATTTGGGGGAGCATTTGTTGAGTATTTGTAGTTTTTCGCCCGAGAACTCCCTGTAGGGGGGCCGGGCCCGACCTAAAGATACGTGGAAAGATCTTCAGACATCGCCACCAGAGCCCCAGACCCTGCGGCAGGCTGGTGCGTCGGGGCTCAAGAGACGGGAGTCAACGCACACGGGGGTCAGCCAGAGCGCCGACTCTTGCAGGATCCTGCAGGGCCAGGGCTGCGCTGTCCGGGGCTTGGGCGCAGGATCCTGCTGGATCCTGCAGGATCCTGCAAGGCTTGACTGACCTGGGTTAGAAGATCCCCGAATGCGGCGATGGCGCGCCGGCGACGCCGACGAAGGCGTTCAAGGTTGAACTCCGCGTGATAGAGCGACGCGGAAGCACTCGGTAGCGCCACAGGACTCGACGGAGTTCAACCTGGAAGGATCGGGGCCGCGATCGGTTCAAGGTTGAACGATCTACGCTGTGACAAAACATTTTGCGCGCGCCGACACCGCACTTACCGTATCTTTCTGCGGGGTCATCGAGCTGCATCGATCCGCGAGGGTCCTGGGCCCGAAATTGGGCGAGAACGCCCGTTGTGCGAAGACGTGCGAGGACCAGGTCTCGGCCCCCCGCACCCTGCTGGTGTCCGACAAAGCGCAGCGTTGCCAGCGTGTTTTTTTTTGTTGAGGCCCACTGCACACGGCATCTCTCCGCCCCGCCTTCGGGCCCACCGTGGTCGATGTTCCTCCGATCCGCTCGATGCTGCGCCGCAGGCGATTTGGCCCGACGAGCCCCCTCTGGGCGAAGCGCGCAGCAGCTTCCTCGATCCAAGACGCGTGCCAGGATGATCGCCGCGAGCGCGGCTGCCTTCCGCCGCCTCGCCTCCGCGGCGCCGGCCTGCCGCGCCTCCGTGTCCTCCCCGGGCGGCGCGCAGCCGGCCGTGGCTCGCTTCGTGACGGCCGGGTGCGGCCCCGAGGCGTACGACAGCATGCCCGCGTGGTTCAAGAGGCACGGCGACGAGCCCACCTGGTGCCTGGGGCTGGCGCACGCCGAGTCTCCCGCGAGCGGCGCTCGACGGAGGAGCAAGCGCACCCCGAGCCCCCTGCCCCAGTAACAGTCCTCGGCGTTTGCTGGATGGGCAGCCCCGGGTTCGGTTCCGCCCTGCGGGCACGCTCACTGAAGGGCGTCGCTTGCCGGGGTGCTGATCATAATCGTGGTTCTCTTGGTCCCCCGCAGGGGGGTGTCGAAGATAACCAGGCGTCGCGCGTCGCGGCCTGGGCCAGACCATACGCCCTTCGCCAGTGAGGGCTGCGCGAGGGCGCCCAGGTGACCGCGCCCTACCGCGCCCTTGCGCAGTTGCGCGAGGTCGCGGAGTTGGCTGGCCTTGGTTCTTCTGCCCTCTGGGCGTCGGAGAAAGGTGAAGCGACATCGCCACCAGCGGGCCCCCTCCAACGAGGAGGTCCACGAACTCTCGCCGAGCCAGAAGCCTGAGCTGTCTCGAGCGGGGAGGTGGGGCTACACCACCAGGAGTCCCCCCCCCTGATAAGCTCGGGCTGGTGGTGTTGGCATCGTTTCTCGGTGTTTCTACGATGAAGGTCTCCCAGATGGGGCCCGTGTAGATCGGGTTGGTGGATCGCGCCGCATCGCCGATGCATCGGCGATGCGGCTCGATGTGGAGTCCGATTTTCTCTACGCCGGCGTCGGCGACGCATCGCCGACGTCGCCGATGCATCGCTGGTGCATCGTCGATGCATCGCCGATGGATCGCCGTTGCGTCGGCGATCCGGTGCAGTCCTCCGACCCCACCTGCTCGGATCCCATGTGGGAGGCCGCTACAAGATCAGGCATGGGCCGCGGGAACCTGGTCCTCGAGGACCTGGACTCCTTCAAGACGTACCTGTCCGCCCTGGACTCGCGGCGGAGCCACGCGGAGGCGGCCTGGCGCGCCCAGGAGGCTGCGGCCGTGGCCCGGGCCCAGGCCGAATCGGCGCGCCAGGCCGCCGAGGCGGCGGACGCGCGCGCCGCCCAGGCCGTCGCCGACGCGCAGGCCGCGGAGCAGGCGGTGGCCGCGCTGCAGGCAGGCTCGGCCGCCTCCCAGCGATTCAAAAGAATCGCTGGTGGATGGGAGTAGTGTTCGGATGCCGCCACGTACAGACGTGCTCAGACCTCCCTGGAGGTCTTCGGGCGCTGCCGCCGGCTCCCGGGGGCCTTCTGCCCCGGGATGCGCTCCAGCAGCCGCGCCTCGCCGCTGGCTGGGGCTGCCCGAGTCGTCCCGAGCGGCCTCCAGGAAGCCGAGCTGCTCTGGCCGGACATTGGACATCCGGACATCCAGCATATACATCGGGCGGTCCGACAGAAATCGGGCTTTGTCGTCACTTACGGCCTCTGGAGGCGGGGCCCTGGGGCCGCCAAGAAGCCTTCTCTTAATATGCGGTTCGGGATGCAAAGCCGGCCCCGGGGGACGGGTCCCGAGCCGCTGGATGTTCGGGGTGGCCGCCGTGGCCACGCGTAAGAGCGACCCTTCGCCGGAGCGACTGGTGGTGCGGGCTCACAGGGGTCCTCCGGCCACGCGCAGAGGGGGGTGGGGGGAGGGGGGAAGGCTTCTTAGAAGCACCCCTGCTTCTTAGCAGGCGCGGGGCGCGGGCCTCCTCTGTACATGTAAGGCGGGCGCCTTCTAAGAAGCAGCCTTCTGGTAAGAAGCTGTCCCCCCCCCCTACCTCCTGGTGCGCGCCGCCACCACTGGCTGGCGCGCCTCGAGTTGGCCTTTTCCGCAGCCCTGTAAAACCGCGCACCATATCTCACTATTGCAGAGGCTCGCTCTTGCGTGTAGCCGATGCAGGCTGAGGTGGCGCGCGCCAAGGGCCCCGGCCTGTACAGCAAGTCGATGGAGGACTCCGCGGCCGCGGCGTGGCGCGGCGCTCCCAGGGAAGCCCAGCCCGTCGTCCAGCACGGGCAGCCCGGGCTGTGAGGCTGGGCGGGTTCGGACCGCACCGTGGCTGATTTCGGGGCCCGGAACATGCCTTCTATATTATGTCGTGTTTGTCCAGTACATCGTGGCAAATGGCGGCCAATACACAGTGTAGATAATTTCTTTTTCAACACGTGTCGCCCAGAGGACCAGCAGGAAATTTATACACTACGTTGTCCTGTGGCGTTTCAGCGTTTTTGCGATATCTTAGTGTGTATTCTTGCGGTTCCCATAATTAGAGAACCGAGCTGGCAGCAGTGGCAAGCGCCGGAACTTTTGCCAGCCGTCGGCCTGATACCCAAGGGGCGGAACCAGAACCATTGGTCTCAGCCCATGCTTGGACCACATTCTGGACAGTGAGGCTCGCTGGCAGCAGTGGCACGCGCCGGAACTTTTTGCCAGCATTCGGCCAGATGCCCAAAGGGCTGAAGCCGGAGCATCAGTCTGAGCACCTTTTTCAACGGCAGCGCCGGTGATCACAGGCGCGGGGGTCGAGTCTGAGCCCCCAGGATACAGACAAAATGTTTGCTATCAGTGTTCTTGCGCTGTCACGATGGCCTCTTGGACCTTAGCCCTTTTGGCCTGTCTCGGGAGCTTCTAGTGGTAGTTGGCATCTTGGAGCCTGTTGGAGGCTTTTGTGGATCTTTCGGAGGTTTATAAGGCCATCTTTGCCTTCTATGGATGCCTTGGACGAACTACGTGGGCAAGTTCAGGAGATCAGGGGGGCCTGGATCGCACCATCCGAGAGTTCATGTGTTCACTCCGTGAACTCCCCTAGCAAGTAGCAGAAGAGGATATCGTTGGACAAGAAACGCGAGACAGGACAAGACAGAAACTCAGAGCCCCGAATCATCAGGGGTAACTCGGGTCAGGGATAACTCGGGTTCGTTTTTCGGGAATCCAAACCCGAGTTACCCCGGACCCGAGTTACCCCGGATAACTCGGGCGTCCAGAGCCCCGAATCATCAGGGGTAACTCGGGTCAGGGCTAACTCGGGTTCGTTTTTCGGGAATCCAAACCCGAGTTACCCCGGACCCGAGTTACCCCGGTTAACTCGGGCGCCCAAGAAACGACAAGAGACACGAGAAACATGACAAGTTAGCATCAACCTTCCAGCCGGATGCTTGCAGAGGGGGGCGATAGATCTATGATCTAACCCTCTTTCCCAGTCGCGCACTCGTCCGCGCTCCTTTGCCCCCATGGCGCACAGTAAAAGCTCGCACGCATGATCAATATGGAGAGGAGGTCTGTCGGTTGCATTTTTGACTGTTTGATGGTATTCTTCACGGTTTGCGTTGTACCAGCGGCGGTTGGCCAGGAATAGGAGTAATACGAGGATCACGGGATTGGTATCGGATTGTCTGGGCACGCGGCGGCGTGCATGGTTTGGTTGGTTCGCTTAGCTGGTTCAGCAGCTGTCGTCGACATACATCGTGGGTTTATGCTGGTGATGTCTGGGTTATCGAGGAAGATGATGCTGTTGCTGCCGAGGAGGAGGAGGAGGAGGAGGAGGAGGAGGAGGAGGAAAGGGATGGGATGATGAGGAGGCAGAGGAGGAGGAGGAAATCCGTCCTTGGACGCCGCGCCCGCCCGCCCGCGCGCGCGCCCTCCTCAGCGCGCCAGCCGCGCTCGGCGGTGCGCGTGCCACGAGAAGGTGGACGTCAGAGGGAGGGTGATCATCCACCTGCGGGTGAACATCCGCGAGAGGGTGACCATCTACCACCAGTCGAACTACAAGCCTGACATCTACAACATCGCCTGCGAGACCTACCTATGTCGGTGGATCTTCACCGGCAAGTTTGCTGAGACCATGCACGCAGAAAGAAGTACGCACAGATGCAGGTCTTAAAAGAACGGACTACCTCGTCTGACACGGGCTGCAACCACATTGACGAGATCGTGGCCATCGCTACGACCACCTTCATGATGGCGTCCAGTACAGGACGGGACGATCTGCGTAACGCGCAGTCCGAGGACCAGTTGCGTAATTGGCAACCCAAGTATGACAACCACCGCGAGTGCGACGCCGACCGCGCCACCAAGATCGACTGCAAGTACGACGGCGCGAGCGGCGGCTTGAAGCCAGCCGTGGCCACGTTCAAGCAGAGCCAGGCCGCGATCGTCCTGCCGGGCGAGACATGACAGTGTTGGGGCGACGTAGTGTTTCGTTGCTGAGATGCCAGGGCCATCGTGGCCAGCCACACTGGCCCCCAGAGCAAGTGCGACTACGTACCAGTGCTACGACGACCGCCAGGACTCTACGGTTCCTACCAGAATTGCCAGGAGTACGACTCCTTGTGCAGCGACGCCGCGGGAGATCATTGGTACAAGTCCAGGAAGGCCCAGAATGCCTAGAAGGCAGACCCCTGGGAGGTCCTTGAGGACAAGAAGGCCCAGGAAACCATTGCGCAACGACGAAGGCCACCAACAGGGCTACAAGGACTACCTGCCGAAATTCCCAGGCAACGCGTGTTTCGTGGAGCCTCGAGGGCCGCCAGCTGAGCTTCAAGAGCCACCTGCTGAGCGACGGGGGCCACAGGCTGTGCTACGAGGACCGCGCGCAGAGCTACGAGTGCCACCAGTTGGGCTACCAGGGCCACCTGCCGTGCCGCGATAAGCACCAGCTGAGCTACGAGGGTCACCTGCTGAACTACGAGCACCGCCAGCTGTGCTGCGAGGGCCGTCTGCAGAGTTACGGGAGCCATCAGCTGGGCTACCAACGCCACCAGATCAGCTAGCAGCTACCAGAGCTACCAGCTGGATTAGGCGGGCCAGATGTGCTTCGAGGTCTGGGCCTCGAGGGCCACCAGCGGAGGTACTACGGCCACCGTCGGAGCTACGGAGACCACGAGCTGAGGTATGTAGCGCAGAGCAACGATGGCCTCCAGAAGACTTACCAGCACCACCAGCTGAACGACCAAGTCCACGAGCAGAGCCTCGAGAGCCCCCGGCACATCTACGAGCGCCACCAGCTTATTTTCAGGGGCGACAAGCCGAGCTACGAGGGCCGCGAACAGGACTCCTAGAGCCACCATTTAAGCCAGGAGGACCACGGGCTGAGATACGGTGGCCACGTGCAGAGCTACGACAGCCACCTGTTGAGATGTCGGGGCCACCTGCTGGTCTACGAAGGCCACCAGTTCAGCTACGAGGACCACCCGCTGGGCTGGCTACGTAAGCCACAAGCACAGCTACGGTAGCAACCTGCGGGGCTACCATCGCCACCAGCTGAGCTTCCAGAGCCACCTGCTGGGCTGCGAGGGCCACACGCTGAGCTTCGTGGCCGGCATGCCGAGTTTCGAGGGCCACGCGCCGGGCTACGAGCACCATTTGCTGGACTACGAGGGTCACCAGCAAGGCTACAACGGCCTCAGGCTATGTTTCGCGGGGCACGAGCACAGCAGCAAGGGAGTCCTGCAGAGTTAGCAGCTCCACCGGCTGAATTAATCACAGGGGCCACGAGCGGAGCCTCTAGAGTTCCCGATGCAGTTCATCACGAGGACCACTAGCCAAACTACGGGGGCAACAAGCCGAGCTCCGGCGGCCGCGAGCATGACTCCGAGAGCCAGCGGCTGAACTACGAGGGCCACGAGAGAAGGACGAGGAGGGTGACGGTGACGAACAGGACGAGCCCATCTTCATCATGTACGTCGCGCCCCAGCGGCTGGACTGCCTCAGGATCATGATCGCCAGGGGGCAGGCAATCACATACGCCTTCGCCATCAGGGCCATATCCAAACTTACGAACCCCACATACATCATGGTGCCGATAGACATGAGCGGTGGCCGCCACTACGAGGACGGAGCCGCGATGGTCCGCGCGCTGGGCCCTTCAGAAGACATCGGAGCGCTCTGGTCCGCCCGCGACCACGACGAGGCGCACCACAATTGGGTATCTATGAGGCCATTTTTAAATTGCTTGGGGCATGACGGGCGTCATGGCCCCCGCTCCCCCCCCCTCCCTATGACGTAAAGCTCCCCCCCCCAGTGCGCCTCGGGCACTGCCGCCGTGCGCATTGGGATCCGCGTAGGTGTCCGCGTAGGAATCCGCATAGGTGTCTGGTCCGCAGGCGTCGTCGTCGTCGTCGTCGTCGTCGTCGTCGTCATCGTCGTCGTCGTTCGTGGTCGTCGTTCGTGGTTCGTCGCTCGTCGCTCGTCGTCGTCGTGCGCGCGGACGCGGCTGGAGCCTGTTTTTAAGTCCGGGCCGATGACGGCAATCATTTGGGGGGGAGGGGGTCGATGACGTCACGTTTCGCGCCGGCGGCGTTTGGGATTGGTCAGGAATGACGGAGGACGGGTAGCACGAACATGTAGGTGGCGATATGCACCACAATGCCTGTGTACATCACAGTGCCCGGGTGCACCGCAGCGCCTGTGTACACCACGCCGCCGATGTACACCACAGCAGCCGCGTGCAACACAGCGTCAGTTTGTGCCACCGTGCTTGCGGGCACAGCAGCTCCTGTGTACACCACAGCGCCTCCGCACACCTCATCAGCCGTGCGCAACACAGCTCCAGTGTACACCACAATGCCTGCGTGCATTGCAGTGCCTGTGTGCGCCACGGCGCCTGTGTGCACCACATCAGCCGTGTTCAACACAACACCATTGTTGTGTATAGAATTTCGGAAGGAATCCTTGTGACAAAATGGAGCGCGTGTGGATTCCAGAGAAAACAATGGAAAACATCTCGTCATGGACAAAAGGAGCGCCGCTGGAATCTACGAGTCCCCCCGAGTCCGCCCGCATCACCCTCTAACTCCCACTTGGGTCCACGAGGCTCCAACTAAACTGGCCGTCCGAGACCCAACTGGACCGATTCAATCGACCATTCTGCGGTGCACGCTGAGATGCGCACGTGCGTTGCAACGCCAAGCCGCACGACAGGGGGTAACAAGGAGTAAAAGGAGGAGGAGGGGGAGGAGGAGGAAGAGGAGGAGGAGGAAAAGGAAAAGGAGGAGGAGGAGGAGGAGGAGGAGGTGGAGGAGGAGGGGGGAGGGAAAAACGTCGCATTCGATTATCAGAATTTTCCTGGCGTGGCGTTTAGTTGTCCGCATCAGATCCTGGCGTACATGCTCCGTCTACTTGTCCTATGCACGCAGGCACTGTGGTGTACACCAGCGCTGCGTTGCACGCGGATGTTGTGGTGTAGACAGGCGCTGCGGCGTGCACAGGCGCTGCCGTGCACGCAAGCACTGTGGTGTACACTGGCGTTGTGCTGCACATGGCTGTTGCGGTGTATGTACACCGGCGCTGTAGTGCTCCCAAGTCTTGTGGTATACACGGGCGGTGCGTTGCACACGGCTGTTGCGGTGTACGCAGGCGCTGTGGTGCACGCGCGCGGTGTGGTGCACGCGAGCGTTGTGGTGTACACAGGCGCAATGGGCAGATCGCCATTTACATGCTGCTCGCGTCGTCGCCGTCGCTCGTCGCTCGTCGCTCGTCGCGTCGTGCGCGCGGGCGCGGCTGTGGTGCCGGAGCCACACGGCGGGGGGGGGCGTCACGTCATACCCCCCCC